CTCAATCAATTGGGAAAAGGTCACTTGAACACATACCTCTTCCCTATCCCTTTCTTTTTTCTTAAACGATGACTTCCCAGCGTACCACAGACCGATGTCCCGACCTTTGAGATGAGCTGGATGCTTTCCTCTTCCTCCCCGTCCTCCCTCACCGCCGCGACCACCAGCACTCACGTCACGTCGGGTGCATCATGCGGCCTTCTCTCCCGCCCCCATTTCTGCTCCCGCCTCTGCCTTCTCCTTCAGTATCATGCTGTCGATAAGCAGCCCCACGACGGCCCCTGAAACCCTCTGCACCTGCAGTATTCACATCGAATTATTGGTTTACACACTCAGCTGTTCTACATAACTTGTGTAAGTGTAAACTATATTGTCACCAAATAATTCATACAAATTATTCATTTCAATGATCATTCTTTCATCCAAGTCACAAACTTGTGTCTTGAGTTATCATGCAGATATGGCAGATTATCAGCTTGTCACCATTTACCATATGTAAACATATATCAGTTTCAATTATACAACTATACGTATATATTTTAGATCAAACGACATAATCATCAATGACAATCTCACAACACATAAATCATAATTTGTTTGATCAAATCTATAAATAATAAGCGTTTGCAATATATATATGCATTAAAAATGTATTAATAAGGCGCACCTAGCAACATTTACAACTGTTAATGCTGAGAAATAAACAATGCATGATTTACTTTGATAGGGTGACAAGGAGCATTTTCTAAACCATTTTACACAGTTTATGGTTACATTTTACATTACACAACAGTTATGTACATTATTTGACACAATTACTCTCGGTGTCTATTTATTCGTCCCCATAATACTATTTACAACAAGCCTTCAGCTCTTTGCATGGTTGTCGTCTTCCTTACGAAAAGTCATGAAGAAAATTAAGAGACTGCTTGTTCAGAACTTTAGACTATACTGTCTAATTCTCCCCATAACTGGTTCAGATACTGACACCAATGAAATCTTGTTTGGCAATTAAACCGTACCAAGACTTTTGTAAACAGCCTAGTTAAATAAAAAAATAATATATAGGGCTGTAACGATACACTCGCGTATTCGGTTGCACCGAACATTGTTGTTGGACTATACGTTAGGGGTGAGTATTGCGACCAAAAAACCGTATTGCAATATATTGCAATACGACAAAACCGTATTGCAATATTTTCCAATACGTATTGGGAAGGTGTTATACCATGCATGATATAGTAACAATTTGATGGTTTTAATATCATCATATATTGTATTATATGACATGATTTAAATTTCTCATGTTTTTCTTGAGAAACAGAAGCACAGCAATGTTTTCCGCTGACAGTGCAGCCCTCTTGTGCCGTAACAATGTCACGTGCTGTACTGAATACCTCTCGGGCAGCCGGCTGAAAGGGGTGATAGGATATATGTTTACTAGGCACTTCTAATTTTAACATATATTTTTAAATTTAATTAGGGTCAGGGTTATGGTTACCGTTTAGGGTTAGGGTTAGGGCACTTTTTAGGTTTTTGCATCATTCTTTAATATATCGTTAAATATATGTTAAAATTAGAAGTGCCCTAGTAAACATATCCTATCACCCCTTTCAGCCGGCTGCCCCTCTCGGAAGGCACTGACGTAGCTGGAATACACAATACCTGCTGCATAATTGGCTAATACTGGATACTGAAACTGAAACTGAAACAGTGGGTGCTCGCTTCAGCTTGCTTGTATCGCGCGCGCGGGCACTCAGGTGAGCATAGGCTATATATTATAGACTCCCTAGTTGCCGTGCTCTCTTGCCTCCGCGCACACGTCTGCCCACTCTGCCCGCGCAGTAGTACCGTGCAGTCTCCATGCAGTGATCGCCTTACCAGGAATACTGTATGCGTCGCTGCAGGCATTGTGCTTTCGTAATATATACACCGCCAGTGCATAATTTTCGAGCCCATTAACAATACAGACATAAAGGCAAGTGTCAAGTAATTTATTTCTTGTTATACCACCGTATCGTAAATATCGATATCCGAAAGTTGTATCGCGATATATCGAGTTTTCAAAATATATTGCAATATACCGATATACCGGTATATAGTTCGTTACACCCCTACTATACGTATTCGTTATTTCGCATCATCATTATTCGAATACTGATGAATACAAATAATAATAATGGAACCCGTTTGAAAAAATATTTTTTAAACTGCCATTCTACGCCGATTTGCTCGAATTCTGAATGTCGTTTGCAGCTTTCCCCGTGAATGCACCTAGACTGGTACCCGTCCCTTCTCACACGTCGAGAAGGCCGGAATGTGCTATCTTTACTACACGTGTATAACTCGCCCCATATCGAGGGTGAGAAGGGAAGGATACTAAGGTTTCAGCGTGGTACCGGTATTGCGATATTATACGCGGTATAATATTTTAGAATTATCATACCGTAACCAGCTCAATTCCGTGGTTTTCTTGTTGACATAGATGTGATTACACTTGTACAGTGATGTCACGAAAGTCTGACACAGCCATGCCGGCATTTTTCCAGCCATGTGCGCGGTTAGCGGCGACGTTGATTGAAGTACGAGGACTTGATCGATCGCGAGCGCGTAGCGCATTTCACTAACGTCCGCTAAAAGTTGTTGACGAAAGTTGTCCGGAGGCATAGCGACAACACACATGCACACGCAAACACACACACGCACACGTTACGCACCACACACACATGCGTGCAACACACACACACACACACGCACGCACACACTACGCACACGCGCACACACACACAAACACACATGCACACGTGCGCGCTTACACGCAGACACATATGCATTTTCATGTGGTCTGCTAAAATCACGTCTGCTAAACACCCTAGGAGCCAAGGCATGATTTGCGCGCCATTCTATCGTTAACATAAAGCATTTTTTGTTCATTCATATATATCAGGAGTAGATAATAAGGAAGAAGTGTGACTTAATAAACAAGGGAAATTCGTCATTTACTAGCCTTAGAATACCTATGATTTACTACGCGTAACTCAACCAACTTGAGCTCAAATCGTACACAGTACATTCGCCTAGCATCCGTGAAAAATCATTTCCTTGATACACCTTGCAATCCGGAGATAAAAAAACTAAATAAAAACTATAAAATAAAAACTAAAACGTACGACACGATTATCAATTCTGTTGCCAGCAAACCGAATGTATAAACCGCCTAACTTGAAACAAAGGCAGCTGTAAATAGGTCAAAGATTAGCTCGCCGAGTGTTGCGTCGATATCCAATCTCCCAGCGAGCCACACCGCATCGCCGAGGGCGCAAGAGTCGTTAGTAGCTACCTTGTTGTTCAAGTTAGGCGGGTTTATACATTCGGTTGCTGGTAACAGAATGGATAATCGTGTCGTACGTTTTAGTCTGTATCTCCGGATTGCGGATGTATACGAGGAAACAATTTCGCACGATGCTAGGCAAATATACTGTGTACGATTTGAGCTTAAGTTGGTTGAGTTACGCGTAGTAAATCGTAGGTATTCTAAGGTTAGTAAATAACGAATTTCCCTTGTTTATTGAAGTCACACTCCTTCCCTATTATCTACTCCTGATATATATATATATATATATATATCTTTTATTCCTTGGTAGTTTTTACAGCTTCAACAAGTGAGTATTCGTATTCGTGAAATATTCGTATTCGCATGCATATATCGTGATACCTATCGTAATCGTGACCTAGTCAGCTAGTGTATTCTTTACAGCCCTAATATATATATAAACAAACAAACAAATAAATAAAACCCATGCAGTATCTGGCCCAGTATGCTTCGTATGGCTGGGCCCCATATACCAGGGCTCGAATTAACCGACGGCGGTGCCCCTATCAATCGCCGTACTGCCCTTGAAAATCCAACCGACGACGGCAGTGACCTGCCTTGCCCTTTTCTGTAATTGCCATCGGCGGGTGTCTCTGGCTAGACTGGTTCGCGCCGCACTGTTTGTCGCAGAGCGTGTACATTGTCTAGCAGAGCGTGAGGCGGATTCCAGTCTACCCTTCGGCCAAAAACAATAACGTGGCTTGCTGCCAACCGCTGCCAGTAGACGATCGATAAGTCGTGCGCCACTGCGCCTGTGTATGCCCGTTGTAAAACACGAATATTTAAAGCTGCACAATGCGCATCCAAACGCTAATTTCTCCAGTACTAGACTAGCAATTCTTCGTGTCATGCATAATCACACTACCTTATGACAAAATAAACTCTAGTTCCTCCATTTCACTGCGCGTTGTCTTATAAAAGGTATTTGAAAATACCTCCAATGTTGTTCAAATTCTCCGATGTTGTTGACAGTTTCCCCAAGCAACCGTGCAGCGGTGCTGCGCGTACAGCGGTACGGGTTGTAGCAAGATAAAACATGTGACGTCCCTCACCACTTCGAGGCTAAATTGTTTGGCAAACAGTCGGCGTTTGCGCCAGAATGCCAGTTTTCTCACCTCTTTCTTGTGGGTTTTAAGCAAACGCGCAGTGAAATGGGAGCAACTAGAGTTTATTTTGTCATAAGGTAGTGTGATTATGCATGACACGAAGTATTTGCTAGTCTAGTACTTGGAGAAATTAGCGTTTAGATGCGCATTGTGCGGCTTTAAATACTGCGCACGTGAACTCGGCCCGCCGCTGCGCGATTTAAAGCGCGCGGAAACGACGCTCGCGCAAGAATAGCCAGCTGTGATCTGTACGGTGTGTAGCTTGCTAAGTGCAGTAAATTTTAGAGAAATTTTAGTAGAATTATACGATGACACAAAGTTTTTCATAACAATGGTCTGGGTCTGGGCTAGTGAAAGTTAGGTCAGGGCTAGTGGTTTTCCTCAAGTTACTAGCCCGATGGTCTTTGATGTAACTGAGCTGACGTGAGCGTACGTTGTTGCATGGCGGTGTTTCAGGGGGTCAGCCACGTTGATGTAACTGAGCTGACGTGAGCGTACGTTGTTGCATGGCTGTGTTTCAGGGTGTTGTCGCGGGTCAGCCATATTGTACTGGACGAGGTGCATGAGCGGGACTTGCAGTCCGACTTTCTCATCATCATCGTCCGCGACATTCTGCCACTGCGACCGGACCTCAAGCTCATCCTCATGAGCGCCACGCTCAACGCTGACCAGTTCTCAACTTACTTTGGTGAGTGAATGTATTAGTAATTTTATTTTCCGATAAAATTATTTAGTTTTTTACATTTGTAGGGTTTTTATTACGTTTAAAAGGAGCTTTTAAATTTAAAAAAGCGTCTTTTAAGTCGAGCGATGATCACCGTGTATCTCAACAAAGAGTATTCAGAATACAGCCGCATTTCTCGTCCGAGTGTTGGTGCATTACGTGTGCATTCGTTTAGTTCCTATCCCACAATCAAACAATCACGTGATGTGGAGCCAATGAGGGAGTTGGGGTGTATTTTTTTAAATTCAAAATTATATTCTATATCAATAATTACCAAATTTACATAGCAGTGTGTGAAGAAAAAGTTGTGCGTTAGTGGGGTAATTTCGAGTTTGTACACCTCAGTATGTGAGTTTTACACATTAAGCTGTTACTTAGGATGAACTTATAAAACTGATGTCATCGGCATGTCTTGTTGCTGAAGGTACCTGTCCCATGCTGCACATCCCCGGCTATACGTTCCCGGTCACGGAGTACCTACTGGAGGACGTCGTTGAGATGACTCGCTACTTTCCTGAGGGTAAGGCCCTGCAGCAGGAGAAGCGGGACTCGCGCAGGAAGCAGCGGCTGTTGTGCCAGGAGGATGTCATGAGACAGGAGGAGTACTCCTCTCAGTTTCCCGTCTACTTGCGCACTCTCCAAGGAAGGTATGGATTCGGCATGCTATCGGCCAGCAACGGTCAAGAATTATAAATCAAGAAAAAAGAGAACACGCTGAAAAGCACAGTTTTTTTCAGCTGTAAAAAGTTAGAAGAACCTGACGAAGACTACCATAAGTCGAAACTAGTCGTTCATTGCGAACTTTGTGTTTTTATATATACAATTGCAACATCCAACCAGCAAGCTAAATCCCTGTGGGGTAGCTCAGTAGAGCTGTGCCCCGCAGAGGCTGTCCAGGCCTCTTCTTCACACGAGCAATATAAATCAGTAGCTCGTTAACTTATCGTACTGTGTAGCAATTTTATTATCAATATCTGTCAGAAGTAGTTTTCTCATGTCTGTTAATTAATTAGGTAATCACGTCTGTTGCGATACTGTCTGATATTCACGGCTATTCCGACGTGTTGTATTTGAATCTGTTGGGATATATA